CTTGTTTTGTGGTGCCAGGGGTCAAACCCAGGGCGTTGTACACGTGCTGCACCCCACCAGGGGACTGGACTCACGTCCACAGGCGCCCTCTGGAGGTGGGCAGTGAGTGAGGGCGGCTTGCCGCTAGAGGGTGCTCTGAGCATGCAGGCTGGCGCTCCTGCAGGGACAGCAGTCCTGTGTCAGCTGCCCGCCCACATGGGCCTTGGCCTTCTGGTTCCACCGGCAGCAGTGGAGGCCGGCCCTGCCCGACCTGTGTCACGGTCATCCGTGGGCTCTGGGCACACCGGGCCACACTGAGAAAGGGTCACAGCCGGTGACGCCTCTGCCCACAGGTGCCAGGCCCTGCAACTTCTCGGCAGCTGCCAACCACGTGCTCAGCAGCTACCAGGAAAACTTCCTGTGCCCCGTCCTGATAGCCGAGTTCCTGGTGGCCATGACTGGCAACGGCCTGGCCCTACACCGCTTACGCACCCGGGAGCCGAGGCCCTGGAACCCAGCCGTGGTCTTCTCGGTGCAGCTGGCGGTCAGCAACCTGCTCTATGCACTGACGCTGCCCCCGCTGGCTGCCTACCTCTACCCGCCCAAGAGCTGGGCCTACGGAGCGGCCGCCTGCCGCCTGGAGCGCTTCCTCTTCACCTGCAACCTGCTGGGCGGCATCGTGTTCCTCACCTGCATCAGCCTCACCCGCTACCTGGGCGTCGTCCACCCCTTCTTCGCACGCTGCCACCTGCAGCCCAAGTGTGCCTGGGCTGTCAGCGTCGCAGGCTGGGCCCTGGCCGCCCTGCTGGCTGCCCCCACGCTCGTCTTCTCAGGCCTCAAGAAGCCGGTGGGGGGCCAGTGCAGCGTCTGGGCGGCATCGTGTTCCTCACCTGCATCAGCCTCACCCGCTACCTGGGCGTCGTCCACCCCTTCTTCGCACGCTGCCACCTGCAGCCCAAGTGTGCCTGGGCTGTCAGCGTCGCAGGCTGGGCCCTGGCCGCCCTGCTGGCTGCCCCCACGCTCGTCTTCTCAGGCCTCAAGAAGCCGGTGGGGGGCCAGTGCAGCGTGTCCAC